AAGGTGTAACAAGCAGTGCTGCTGATTATAAACTGTCCCCCGAAAATGACAGGAGCCGAAGTTGGCCAGATGCTGAGACCTTGGCCTCACCAAGACCCAAGTACCCAGAGTCTTCCTCTTCAGACATAAGCCAGGAGGCTCTTGGCTGGGCAATCTTTCCAGCTCAGACTCACTTGTTTTCTTGCCTCCCTAATCTTTGAATGAAAGGTTGCATTGGTTCTTCAAGCCCCACCCCAAAGCTACCTCTTCCATGAAACCCTGTGTTTCTTCCCCTGTATTCCTGCAACAAGACCAGGACTCTCCCCAGCACCTGTCACCATTATAAGTAGTGACTGGGGCTGAAGAGATGGCTCAGAGGTTAAGAGCACTGGCTGCCCCTTCAGAGGTCCTGAGTTCAATCCCAGCAACCACATGGTGGCCCACAACCATCTGTAAGGAAATCTGGTGCCCTCTTCTGGCCTGCAGGCATATATGCAGATAGGACACTGTATACATAACAAGTCAATAAATCTTTAACTAAAAAAGCGGTGGCTGTATGCAGTTATTTATTATCTGTTATTTATAAGCAAGCAATTGATATGAAAAGGGGTCTGTCAATTGATATGAAAAGGGGTCTGTCATTCACTGGGGCTCTGCAATGTGCTAGGATACATTATTTCATCCTGAGAGCAAAACTATTAGGAAGCTGCTGCCAAGTGTAGGGGAACTAGAGTTTGCACCCACTGCCATCTCTCACTTTACCTTCCTTATTAAAGCAAAAAATGCGGAGGACAACAGTTGGGTTTTCCTCACCTGTAAAAGTTTAAAACTTTTCAGACTTACATAATAAAAGCTTTTGGGGTGTACAGGTTATCATGTCTTACATGAATCTCAGAGCTGGGAAACTGAATATGTGAATCTTGCAGTATATGAGCAAAGGCTAAATAGTTTTTCTATTAACAATTTTCATAAGGTATAGTTTACACAGGTATACGTGAGATTTAAAAACAACAACAAAATGGAACTTCTGGAAAGGACCGGTCTAAAACCGAAAGTTGAACTCATTTCCCTGAGACTTACAGCAATGTAGATACTATACAAAAAAGATCATTTAGGGACTGGGCGTTGGTGGCACACGCCTTTAATCCCAGCACTCGGGAGGCAGAGGCAGGCAGATCTCTGTGAGTTCGAGGCCAGCCTGATCTCCAGAGCGAGGGCCAGGATAGGCTCCAAAGCTACACAGAGAAACCCTGTCTCGAAAAACCAAAAAAAAAAAAAAATCATTTAGTGGAAAATAGAGCCACAGAACCTATCCAAAATAAAGCACAAGGACAAACAAGACTGAAAACAAAAAGTGGGACTGATGAGAGGGACTGTCAACAGCAGGTACTCTAACAGACTCTAAGTTGGAGGAGCATATCTCAAACTGGAGCATGTCCAGTTTGAGAAACAACTGGACAAAAGAGTTTTCTAAATCTTATGAGAACAATAAAATCACAAATCCAAGAAGTTGTGAATGAGTTCTAACCAGGACATTAATTCATTGACTTAAAAACTAGACTAAATCCATAAAAGTATGAGAAAATGAGTAAGAAAGAAAGAGATTTTATAAGTGGGGGCGGGGGTTTGGAGGAGAATGACAGGGGGGGAGACAAAAAAATAAAAAATCCAGCAGTCTATAATTAAACCAATCACCTCCAACAACAAATACTTGATTTGAATACACTAACAATGACTAAGATAACTGTCGGTTGGCTTATTTATTTTGTGGTTTTTAGACAAGCCAAGCATGACCTCACGTAACCCAGGCTGTATATGAACTCGATATGTTGCTGAGGATGACCCTGAACTCCTGATCCTCCTACCTCTACCTCCCAAATGCTGGAATCACAGGTATGAGCCCATCACACCCAGTTTATGCAAACACAGGTCTCCAGGAATGCTAGACAAACACTAACAGAGCTATAGCCCCTCCATTACTAAGAAATTTGGAAGAAAAACTCTCACTCTTTCTTCTAAATTTCTGATTTTTTTTCAATAAGGTTCTTTTTATTCTAAAAATGTGCTTTGGAATATCTTTTCCAGTGTATATTTTACCTCAACTTGCTCCAATGTACATAAAGATTGTGAGTGTTAAGACTTTCCTTCAGTTTGGCAGTCCAGGTTTTAAAAAAGGAATTTTATAAATGGAAGAATCTAGGAACAAGGAGATCTCCACAATGGATACTGCCTAGATATAATAAAAGGAATGTGGAGTCGTCAAAATGACTGACACAGAAGACAAGATGGTCATGGCCAAGGGTTGGAGGTATGGGAAACGGAGACATTCTATTGACCAGTACAGAGTTTTAGATGGGAAACAAAAGTCTTGTGGAGAGCGGGTGTTAGTGGTGCACGCCTTTAATCCCAGCACTAGGGAGGCAGAAGGAGGCAGATCTCTGTGAGTTTGGGACTAGCCTGGTCTATAAGAGCTAGTTCCAGGAGAGCCTCCAAAGCAACAGAGAAACCCTGGCTCGAGAAAAGAAAAAAAAAGTCTTGTGGAGATGGATAACAACAAGATTTAATCTGGGGACTGTAAAATGGCTCCCTGAGTAAGGGTTCTTGACAATAAGCCTTACAACATGAGTTCAATGCCAGAACTCACAACAGAAGGAGAGAAATAAGTTCTGGAAATTGTCCTCTGACATCTTCTACCCATGTACACAGCACACACACAAATAATAAATAAATCAGTAACAAATGTTTCATCTTATAACCAAGATTCAAAAGACAGCAAAATGGGCTGGAGAGATGGCTCAGTGGTTAAGCACACATACTACTCTTTCATCAGGGAACCTGAGATCAATTCACAGCAACAACGTCAGGTACCCCAGGAGGATTCCACATCTCGGGCCTCTGCAGGCATCTACACTTATACCCATCACACACACACACACACACACACACTTACACACACACACTTTAAACAAATAATAAAAGTGAATAAAGGAGAAAGTTGAAAGAACTACACAAAATTAGAAAACTGAGTTCCACTATGGCCCTAGCCCCCCAAACATCGGCTCAGGCACAACAGAAATTCTTCTCCACCGAGAAAAACAAGGCTCAATGCTCCAACAGCCTCCTCTGCCCTCTGGGAAACCCTAGCAACTGAGAAGAGTCATTCCTTTCCACTTACCAGGGTTGCCAGATATTACTGAGGTATTTTCTTCTTCCTTCTCTGGAACTTCCTTTGCTTTCTTCTTAACGGGCCCCTCACTCCCCAGTGATCTCCTCCTGCTGTAACTTTTTGTAACCTGTATCAGGAAGGTTGGAAATAGTGTGTTAATGCCATCCTAAGGTTTGAAGTCATTTAAACCTTGCTTTGGAATGACAGTAAGTTCCCTGCCTTCCACTCTTCATAGAGTGGATCTACTTTTACTCTGTAAAGGTTTTGGGGTGACTATGAAAGATAGAAACTGGCAGGTGTAGCCTCTTATCACCTCTCATCCTCCTGAAATCAAGTGCTGTTCTCCACCTTTCCTACTTACATACGTTGAATAAAATACCTCTAAAGATGAACAAAAAATATATTTTCAAAATGCAAAATTATGGGAGAAGATGAGATAATAATGTATTTTCTGTTTCAAAGCTTGCATCCACTATTAAAAGATGTCCTAGGGCTACTGGTTGGCAGGTAATCTAAGAAAAACTTAACACTTTCCCCCAATATTCTGTCAATGTGGGTGCAAAATAAAACCGTGGTGAATTCATGAAAATGTAGATCACTCTGGGGGGGGCAGTATAAGGAAGAAAAATAAGTTAAAGAGTTTTAAGATTCTTAAGCTTAATACTTTGCACCTGCATTAAAATACAGTAGATAGCTAAAAGCCAGTCTACAACCAACCTTCTTCATCCTCAGTCTGGGAAATGACAGAGTCCAGACCTAAGGCACTCTGAGCAAGTGTGCCACATCGCCCAGGCTGTGTGGGAAATATAACCAGGAACTTCAGGGACTGCTCACCCTTGGGTCTGCACTTGTGGCACTATCACTATGGGGTTTGGGTTTTGTTTTGCTTTGCTTTTATCTATTTGAAAGGCTGCAAGCAACAGGGAGTAGCCAACAATAAGCCATCTACTGGAACTTCATTCACCCAAATTCTTATTTTACAACGGGAAGCTGCACAGAAGAATGTTCTGGCACAGTGATCTGAAATATTGAGCAGTGCTTCTGAATTCTGAAAAACTAGCCTTAAAGACAGACAGCTTTGTTCTAGTCAGCCAGGCAAGCATATGTAAATAAAGTTCCTCAGGGAACTGAGGTTAAAAGATGTATCCTGGACCTGCCAGACCTGGCCATTCACGTAAACAGAAGATTCCGCCTCAAGTTCCGGTTAACAACAGGAGGCAACGAGATCTCAAATCTATTACTTCTAATCGGGTAATTAAAACCTTTCAACTAAAACACGGACCCACGGATGTCACCCACTTTTCCTTCCCCGGCTCCGCCCCTTCTCAGTACTCCCCACCATTAGGCTCGCTACTCTACCTGGCCCCGCCCCGTTGAGGACAGAAGAAACCCCGGGCAGCCGCAGCCAAGGCGGAGCGGTAGACGCTGGGGGCGCTGAGGAGTCGTCCTCTACCTTCTCTGCTGGCTCGGTGGGGGACGCGGTGGATCTCAGGCTTCCGGAAGACTGGAAGAACCGGCTCAGAACCGCTTGTCTCCGCGGGGCTTGGGCGGCGGAAGAATGGC